TATTTTCACTCAAATTTCCCTGATAACATACTAGGTCAAAATTACTCAATAGCTGTTCTCGAGTTACTTGGTATTATTCTGGCCCTAAGACTGTGGTCTCCTGAATTCAAGGGTAAGAAAATAATTGTTAATTGTGATAATGAGGTTGTTTGTTCAGTTTTAAATTCTGGCAAAGCTAGATGCCCTATTTTGCAAGATGGTTTAAGAGAATTTTGTTTTTTTTGACGGCCAAAGCTGAATGTGAGATAAGAGCTGTACATTTATCTAGTACGGACAATCGTATATCTGATTGCTTATCTCGTTGGTATCAACACAAAAAATTTCAAGATGAATTTTTTCGGTTAACATCTGGTTTTCATTTAGATCATTATGAGGTGTTACAGCAAGATTTTGCTTTTGTTAATGACTGGTAATTCTTTTTGTCTCTGGTTTATTTTGCAGATCTGCAATTGAAGACTCTCAAGACAGATTTAAAACTGTCTAATATTTCAGCATATGCAGAAAATAGTAGAAAAAATTTAAAAATTCAATGGAATCATTTATATTATTTTGTTTGTATTTCAATTTCTGTTATTTACCTGCTTCAACTGAAACAATTCAGTTATATTCCCAATTTCTTAGTAGATCTTTTAAATCTGTGGCTAGTATTCGAAATTATTTAAGTGGTTGTAAGAACTGTTCATCAGTTATTGGGTTATAATTTGAATGAAATGAATACGTTTTGATAAATTTCACTCTTCGTGGAATTTCCCCGATTGAAATGTCATTGTGTAAAACAAGCTCAACCTATAACTCCTTTTATTCTTTCTAAGATTTACTTGACGTTGAAATTTTAAAGATCCAGAAAACTTAGTTTTTTGGTGTTTATTTTTATTTGCATTTTTTCTGTGGCACGAAAGTCAAATTAGTTCCAACTACACTTAAAGATTTAATTAATCATAAATGTTTGATTAGGTCTGATGTTACTCGTTTTCATGGTGACTTAATATTTACTATGAATTGGACCAAAACAATTCAGTTTGGAGAAACGTCTTTTACAGACTCCTCTATTAAAGTTACCAGGCTCTTGTTTGTGTCCGGTTACTGCATATGATAACATGTTAAAGGTCATTCCTGGGAAATCTGCAGATGCTTTATTTCTTTTACCTAATGGTAAAACCGGTAACTTATTATTTATTTCAAAATAAATTGCGTCAGGTTTTAAATGATCTTGGGTTTGACTCATCATTATATTCCTCTCATTCATTTAGGCGTGGTTTTGCTACCTTGCCTTTAAGAATAATATTAGTTTCAGATGAAATTCAAATTCTTGGAGATTGGCATTCTGACGTTTATAAACGTTATATTTCACTATATATTGAAGATAAGTGTAAAATTATGAAGGATATTTCTCATGTTTTTTATGTTTGATTTAAATATAGTCTTTAATAAAACTGTTCTTTGTATGTTTTCAGAACATGTAGCTCATCCACCAAGTGTACAATTGTCTCAGACTCCATTGCCAAAAATGTGTCAGGTATTTGGGATACTCAAATAACAGCCTTTCCTGGAATTTAATATTTCAAGGTTAAGTTTTCGTATTTCACAAGGTCAAGTTGATCTTAGATCTGCTTATGTCATATTACATGTTGGTACCAACGATGTAACTGGCCCTCGTTCAGAAGATGAGATTATCTCATCTTTTAACGATTTGATTTCCAATGTTCGTCAACAATCTTCTGGAAGCATTATTGTATCTGCAATTATTCCACGCCCTATAGATTTTGATACTACTGGTAATAGAGTTAAAAATTTAAAACAATAAATTGGTTCTACTATGCAAATCTAGAAAATGTTATTTTCATTAGAACTTTCAAACCTTTCTTAAATGTGGCTTGCCCCGTCGTGAGTATTATGCTATAAAAGACGGTGGGTTTACATCTTAATCTAGAAGGTACAAGGCGTTTGAAAGAATTTTTCATTAATACCATTGCTCACTTAAAAGTAATTACATCTTAGTGTTGGATGAGCGCTACATGTTTACTGCAAGTTTCAAATATTTGTATTTCTAGACAGCTTGTTAAGTAAATATGTAATTCGTAATTATTATAATCTTTAGAATATACATTCGTAAGATAGTGTCATGTTCTAATGTCATTATGTCTTTGCTTGAGGCAACTTGGTTACTCAAGAAAGATTAAATCTTACAAACTGGCAAATGGCTAGTATTGAAGATTACTTTCTACTAAGGAGGTTAAAAGAATGCCTCTTAGTGTTTTTGTTATTGTGTATACACTTGTTCTAGAGTGTTTCAGGATATTGAATTTAATGTTTTATATTCAAATATATGCATTAGTTGATATATGTACTTTATGCCTTTGCTTGAGACACACTGTTTCTCAAGAAAGGCTCAGTCTCGTAAGCTGGTAATGACCAGACTTGGAGATTATGCTACTAAGGAGGTGGTATGAAAGCCTCTTAGTAGATTTGTATGTATCTGAACTTATATTTGCTGATGTTTTGTATTTGTAATGTTTTTTGTTTGTATTTTTCATGGCCATGGGTGCGGCTGGATTATGAATATTACTTCTGTAATGATTAATGGATTGTCATGTGGATAGACAAAGACATTTTGATTGAGTTTCATGATGAAACAATTTCTATTTGTATTGAATAATATAATCATTTAATATGAATGTGAAACATGTGATCTCGAATTACCTAATAATATGATATCAAGATCAAAATTTCTCTTGTGTTTTCTTTTAAATGATAACTTATAATTTTGTTTATTTTGAACTAAAATAACTTAATTATAAGGTTGAATGAATTTGACCTTTTTAAAAACTCTTTTTCATTGGTGGATTTTAACTGGAACTGAATTCAATGGAGAAATTTTTAACTCAGAAGTAAAGGGATTTTTCTTAAAAGGGCCTATAATACATGAATCAGCACTTTCTTTACCTAAATAATTATTAATATCATTTGGATAATCATTAGCGCCAGAATGATTCTTGTACTTCCAAGAATCCAAATGATCAAAATGGAAACCTTTATCAATAAAACCAATCGGAAAACCATATTTCAAAAGATCACAAACTAACAAATCCCTATAATCCGTACCTAACATACGTCTCATAAATTCAGTATTGATTTTATCATTAACCTGAATTTTGCAACCTTCATAATTATAAAGACCAGATTGGCATACCTTCTCATGAATAAAAACTTTATCATAAATAAACATCAAATCTTTTTTAGTGACATTACAAATGTTACATTTAACTGAATGTTTACAAATAGTATTTTCAATAACTGCTGAATCAACAATATTATTACCCTGTGTTTTACAAAATTTTGGAAAAAATAGATCTACAACATTTTCATTAATTGTCACATTTTTTTTAAGATGATCATATCTATCCACAAGTCAATTTGTGGAATACGGGCATGAACTTGAACATTCTGGATGTTCCAACTTGACCTTATCTTTTATCCAACAAGATGCACAGATATGTTGAGATAATCTTGCAATGCCCTTAACAACAGTAATATGAGGCGCTTTTTGCTGACATTTATTTCTTTGAAATTGACTACAGAACCAAACTCTTTCTGTAGTAACACTAGTATCTGATCTACTTTTTTCAGTCTTATGACGAACATTCATTGATTTTTTGTTAACATTACTCACATGACTAGATAAAATTGCCGATTCAACATATTGATACGAATCTCCCCATTTAAGATGGCCTAGTTCAATCTCTCTTAAAACAGCTGCATACAAATTCTTAACAACTACAAAGTCATAGGAAGAACAAAGATACATAAGTTTCTTTAATAACTCAAGTCTAGCCTTACGTTCAGAAGCTTGCATAGACGGGGATGAAATAATTTCTAATTCCCCTGCAACAAACAAATTCCATTCTAATTTGTCAAATGTAATTGAGCTAGTGACATATTCAAATCTTAGACTGGATTGAGGATATTGTTGTCTACTGACTACTTTATCCCCAGCCTTAGCCAAAATACCAGACCTAATTTTATTCTTAGAATAATGAAAAGTATCAACATCAGAATCTTCTGATGAACTTAAACAATTAGACACCTTTTTCTTCATATTCTTTGATATCTTATTCAAACTTTCATCACTGCAAGTGTCTGAATCTGAATGAGAAAAAATATCCAAACCAATTTTACTAATTTTCGACTTTGCTTTCCTTCGTAGATCTGTGTTTTTTCTCAAGTCATTAAGCGTAACATGCTCAATATCTACATTTTTACTTGAATCATCAATAACTGGTTTTTTTTACTAGAATACAAATTGATACCTCGTACGATCTCACCTCTTAATTTTTTAACGTCCTGTTTCTTCTGTTCAATTTGTTTTCTCAATACGTCTGCTTCGGATAACTGTTCCTTAAGAACACGTTCTTCTTGTTGTAAGGCGCTCAGCTCCTTCTTCATCTGAATGATACCAGAAAATCAGTCTGACGACTTTTTCTATTCAAGTCTGTATCCCCAGAAAATTCATCATCCTCGTGAAAACTGACATTTTTAGCGGAAGCGGAAGTTGGCAACAAGGTCGCTTGTGTAGTTTCCTCGGAAAACAATTTAATATCTTCCATGTGTTCCTCTGTCCAGAAGGATTCCTGGTCTTCATCTCCGAATCCGTCATTTAACAATTTATAGTCCACTCTTTTACCTCTAGAAGGTAATATTTTTTTCTTCTCCAGTTCCTTGGACGCCATGTTAGTCCCAAAATACAAACAGCTTACGCGGCACGAAGTACCGAAATAAAGTTTATTCGTATTCAACGAAATATTATTTACTGAATACGAAAACTCCTCTTGGTATGCACTATAAAATCCTGATGAATAATACACCAGTCCATAAATCAAATAAAATACCAACATATGTGGAACAATTCTGTAAAATAACTTTCAATAAATTTGTGTAAAATAGAATTTTCAACATGTGATCTTCTTGTCAAACGAATACACAAATGGTCATTGTCATGACTACTGGTGTGAAAAATGTGATTTAGGTTAATATATCCAGTGTGAAAAATCTGGAAACAAAGTGATCCCTCGGAAGCATTAATCACAACAAAATTACATGAAAATTACAGACCCAGGTTTTATTGAGTCTGTACATGAGGGATAATGAAGAAGTGCAACATCCCTCACGTCCCCTAGCATTGGCTTGAGCAGTACTCAATTCTCAACACTTAATTGTGCTGGCATCACTATAGGTCACTAAAGATGATAGTCAAGGTCACTAAAGATAATGAAATATGAAGATTTTGTCCAGAGCATATCTCCTACATATATGGAGGGATTCTAATTAAACTTCATACAAATGTTCACCACTTTGAAAAGCTGTTCATGCATACATGTTTGAACTAGGTATCCAGGTCTAAGGTCAAGGTCACACTTAGAGGCCATTGAAAAACGCTTTAAGTATCTACTTCCAACTTCAAATATATATATATTTCTTATCATTACACACATGTTTTGTGACAAGGTTCATAACTCTAGTGTGACTATTTCCAAAATTATTCCCCCTTGAACTTGGAATTTATGTTAAAAAATGTTATTTTTTACTGTAACTTCTTGTCATATGGATAAGAGTTATAAAATGCAAGACCCTGTATTCCCAGAATTTATTTCTCCATTTAATTTTTGAACTGTGTTGCTTTTAATAGCAGTAGGCCTACCAGAAAATGTAAAAACCGTGATATCGTAGAACCCGTGATATAGGAACCGAGTATACTCGTCTCAGAGCTAGGTATCTGTGCTCACAAAAGTTTTCAGACGGTGGATTCGTTATATTTTTTTCTATTATTGCAGAAAGTGACGTTTCCGCAAATAAGTAGAATCGCCTGAAAAGAATAGTTCTTACCATCTGTCAAATTTGAGAAAAATAATCAAGCACTACTATCAAGGGAGACTACTATTATATAAACAAACAAAATGGAGTTCGACCAAAGAGATCATTTAAGGTTCAAATCTATCAAAGGGTCAGTTTTTGTTGGAACGATTTTAACTGGACTTGGTTTGGCTACGTATTTTGCAATTATCAAGCCATTATTTATTGAACCAGAGAAGTATAGTAAGTGTCAAGAGAGATCACTTTAACTTTCAGTTCTTTTTTTGCTAATTTTTATCTAAAAAAGAACTTAAGTAAGTTTGTGCAAAATCATTTTACCATGGACGGACTTTGAAATATAAGGTACCACATAAATTAAATTGTAATCTAGCATTACTTAGCCATTAAATACATGAAAAATTTAATTAAAATTAAACACTTATTTTCTTTCAAAAATGGTTCTCAATGATACATAAAATGACCAATGATAAAAGAATGAAAGTTGGTCCTACTGGGGTTTGAACACACAACCCTCAGTTTCAATAAGTTGACAGCATTTGTGAACTTGTCATTTGACTTACTTTGGGATGTTCATACCTTAATAAGAACCTATTTTTTTCACATTAATATAAAATTAGGCAAAACCTATGAATGGGGAAGTCGGTTAAAATAATTGTTCATTTTACATTTTCTGTTTTAAAAGCGTTATTCAGTATTTTATGCACCTCTTACGTTTTACTGAAACTCTACGATGATTATCATTGAGTGGAAAAGTAGTGATTGTTCCGTTATCGGAATACCCCATCTATTATCATTTAGTTTCATTGAAAATTGGGGCTCCCAACAAGTTAATTATGAAACTGAAAATTTCACTGATAGGAATAGAAATCTATATATGTTTTAATTGTCCTTTTAGATATACATGTGTAGTCTAGTATAGCTGGGCAATCCAAAGCCTGTGCCCTGACTTCACAGACCCAGCTTTTGACTTCCCCGCTAAAATACTTTTTTTACACTTTTGCTCTATATAAATAGGTTTTATTAACAGACTAGATAAATACCTTTCTGAATAGAAACATTCCTTTAGTGGTGGTTTGGTCAAAAAGGTCACTGCATTGGGTCAATGTTGTGATCTTGATCCACTTTCTCGATGTTTCTACTCAGGCCTGAAATAATGTACAGATCGAGTGGCACCTGCAAATTTCTCCACCTGTAAAGTTGGAAAGTCGCCATAATGATGACCTATACTGTGTTGGTATGACCTAAAACCCAACCAAAAAAAAATGTTGTTGAATACATCGTAGGTTCTCACCATTCTGTTATTTTGGTCGGAGTTTTTAGCCACATTTGACATGCATTTATGATTAGGATGGCCATACCTTAATAAGAACCTCACATTGTCACTTTGTTCGTGGTCAAGGTATTTTGTTATGTATGTTTGATTGACCTTTATTCACAAATTAAATAATTTCTAATTTTACAGCTAGAAATGGCAACATGCCAATTTACATTTTTTCTGTCAACTTTGTATCATATAACAGTGTTAACAATTTACATGAGTAATTAAAGAGTAATTATAAATTCTTTTTAGATGGACTGAATGAGTGGACTTAATTAATGATATTATAGCTGGAATATCTTCGTTTTTAGTACATGTAAAAAGGCTTTTAAGTATGACTTTTTATGTCCCTGAAGCGAGGCATAATATAATCGCACCGTCTGTTCGTCCGTCTGTCCCACTTCATTTGTGTCCGGACTTGGCACAAATGTCTACCACATCAAGACGATGTGTCGCGTCCAAGAACCATGTTAAGGTCACACTATCATTTTGAAGTTTCACATTATCGCAATTAGAGTAAATATGTACGAGGGTTGTTCAAAAAATTCGTGCACTGCAGTTATTGTCGTGAGAGTTTTTAATAAAACCATATGAATTATATATCAATTGAAGAGGAAATCTGTCTCAAATAAAAAAAACAAAAGAAAAAGCCGGCTAACCGGCGCGTCGTGTAAAAGAATGGTCATTAAGTTACCTTAGTAACGTAATACCGGCGCACAACAAAAATTGGGTTATTTCATTATTGTAATTGTATTAATTATTTGTTGCTTGTAAAGTGGCATTTGCTTTTTATGTTATAATTTGTTTTACTGTCTAAAGAGGAATGATTGATGCAAAGTATTTTGTAGTTTTTATTGTTTTTATGCAACGGACATGTAACATATCCCACCAGTGAACGAATATATTGGACAACCCTCGTCACATAGTCCGGCATTACAGACAGATGTCTGCCTGACCGGTTGTCATCGTCTAACGACTCTCGCCCTTCTACAGAGCCTTTGTGCCATTAAAAAACCAGTCTTCGTAATACGGATCTAGTCCCCGCTTGCCCTTTTAAGTTCTTTGTAGGTATCTGTGTGTGTTTTACCAATATTTGCACAAACTTTAATGATCGTCCATATTTCCAGACGTTTAGCGACTGACATTTTCACGTAATTACAATATTGACGACCTCACACAAATGTTTGTTTACGACTGTTACAATAGGGCAAATGACATCAAATTTTCTAGTGACGGTAGGAATACGTACACATATTTTCCCCTGAATTTAAACGTTTATATGTAGTGTTTAAAGAATACCATGATGCATCAAAGTAATGAACTAACATAATTTTTTGTCGTGAGCCGGTATTACGTTACCAAGGTAACTGTATGACGATTCGTTTTCACGACATGCCGATTACACGTTTTTTTCTGTTGTTTTCTCAATTGAGACAGATCTCCCCTTCAAGTGATATATAATTCATGTTTTTCTATCAATAACTCTCACGACAATAACTGCAGTGCACGAACTTTTTGGACAGCCCTCATACACACATTGTGTCCGGACTGTAACTTTGTCATGCATCAAATGATTTTAAAATAACTAGGCATTAATGTCTACCACATTAAGATGATGTGTTGTGTCCAAGAATTATGTCTCTACCTCACAGCCCTCATACACACATTGTGTCCGGACTGTAACTTTGTCATGCATCAAATGATTTTAAAATAACTAGGCATTAATGTCTACCACATTAAGATGATGTGTTGTGTCCAAGAATTATGTCTCTACCTCAAAGGTCAAGATCACACTTACATTTTGAAGTTTCACATTATTGCAATTAGAATTAATAGGTACACACAATCGTTTCTGGGCTGTAACTTTGTCATGCATGGAAGGATTTTAAAGTAACTTTGCATAAATGTCTACATGATGTGTTGTGTCCAAGAATTACCTCTCTACCTCAAAGGTCAAGGTCACACTACCATTTTGAAGTTCACTTTATCACAATTAGAGTTTATAGGTACATGGAAGGATTTTAAAATAACTAGGTATAAATGTCTACCACATCAAGACGACATGTCCCGACAAAGACCCATGTTCCTACCGTCAAGGTCACACTTATAGTTTGAAGGTACACATTCATTTCTGGACAATAACTTTGTCATGCATGGAAGGATTTTAAAATAACTTGGCACAAATGTCTAAAACATCAAGACAATGTGTCGTGGCTAAGGCTCATGTTCGTGTGAAATAATTTGGCACAAATGTCTAACTCGTAACAACATTTTGTCGCATCCAGGAACCACCTCCCTTCTTCAAAGGTCAAGGTCACACTTATATTTTGAAGGTTTATGCTATCACATTTAGAGATTACAGGTACAATAATACAAAGAACAATATTCAGCAATAATTATTAGTGACTTTCATTCTCTTTTCTTTTCATAATACCTGCATGCTGGGGGCATTTGTGACTTGGGTGAGAGCTCTTGTTATATCTTCTCATTCAGTAAAGTTCTTGAATTATCTTTAACTGTTGAAATTGTCATTATCAACTGCACCAATTGGCAATATGAGAAACTAACTTTGAACATTCCACAGTGGCACTTGTTAATCACTATAGAAATGTTTGTCATTTCAGAAGCAATTCAGGAAGTAACCAGAAAAGGCATTGACCAGAGTAAAATACAGCCAGGAGGTATGCTACTTTCAATCATTACATAAATCATAAAAAAGTGCCATCATTGGTTTCCTTTAAATAAGACAGCTGTGTCCCTGAATATACTATGCTCATCTTTGAATGAAATACTTCAGTTGTAGAAATTACTTGAAATCTAGGAAATTCTAACTCGATATGTAAAATGTGATGAAAGTTATTCACACACTATATTTTGTAAGCTGCATAAATAATTCCCAAATACAGAACATCTTAAATTGGTCCACTTTATTAACAAAGTTTCAGATTTTATTTGAAAAACATGGAGAGATATTGTACTGCTTCTGATGTTAATATCACTGAAGTATTCACATTTTAGTTAAGTTTGTGTGCATGTTCTCAAAAAAAAAAAAAAAAAAAAAAGAAACGGGATTAAAATATGAAAAAACAAGATCAACAAGGAAAGGCGGCGCTCAATGAACGCAACCCCCCATATGACCCAGCAACAAGAACCAATGGCAAGGAGCCCAGGTGGACCCCAAACATAAAAAGGACAGGGCAACGACATGTTAATCATTAAATGATAAATAATTTGTAACTGATTAGGAATTCAAAGAAAATAATAATAGGCCCACAAAGGGGAAGGGGACAGGAGACCGGGGGAAAGGGGGGGGGGGGGGGTAATCAAAGAAATAAAAAAACTAGAGGCAATGGGGAAGATACTTACCGTAGACGAGAAAACAACAAGGGACACAAGCAAAAGTGTCACCAAAACAGTATGAAACAACATAGACATACATCTGAGGAACACAGTGGGGCGCCGCCTTGGAACGGTCAGCAGCATAATAATGACTGCTGGGGAGTTTAAACCGGTTAATGGTGCACCAAACCTCGCTCTTAGCCCCACCATGTTCCTATAAACGAGACAGTGTAAATAAAATGAATCCCCGCCAAGTGAATTTCTAACAGTTGTAATGGTTACAAAAGGTTAAATAAGTAAAACACTAAAATGATCATGTAGAAACATATAAAAGTAAACCCAATGACCATGACAAAAGTACTCAATGTCCTAAAGGAAGACAGAGCAACAAGAAAATCACCTACAAGGGCCCGACGAAGCAAGGCAGAAGACGAACATTAAGACAATTCAGTCCCAAAGGGCTTTACGAACTATCCATCATAGAGTCTACACATTTGCTGTCTATGTTTGTATTACATAATGGGCACTGGTCCTAAATTCTGAGTTACATTTATTACAGAGTTATGCCTCTTTTCTAACTGTCAAGCACTGATTATTCATGCATTTTGTCTTATGGAAAGCTCTTGTTTCATTGACACTATTTATTCATTTTGTGTAAACTGATTTGCATGTTTCAATTTGTAGCAATAATGTAGATATTTTCATATATGAAACTTCACCATGACATATCTTTTATGTGTTGAATTTGTTTAATAGATTTGCCCTGTTTTGAATTTGGTAAAAATGGTAAAATTGAGCTACCTGTAACCAGTAGTGTATATACACAGCAGGGTTGCCAGCAGACTTGAAAAGTCAGGGAAATCTGATATTTTTTCAAGGTCAGGGAATTGTCAGGGAATTTTGAAAATTGGTCAGTGAAGAATAAAAATCCTAAAAAGTCAGAGAAAAGTCAGGGAAAAATAATTTTGAAGAATTTTCCTTATATGTATAAAGTAAAAACTGGAAAAAAAACATGTTCACCTCTTTTAAGAGCTAGAGCTTAGATATTAAGCATGTAACATTTCAGTGAGGGTCTACCAATTTTGTACAAATAAAAGCCTTTGGGTCAAAATTTGCCTAGTCAAGGGGGTCATTGATTTTCCTTATATGTTTAACAAACCCAAAAGAGCTAGAGTTCAGTTATTAAGCATGAAACATTTTCTAGTGTGTCTACCAAGTTTGTTCAAATAAAAGTCCGTGGGTCAAAATAAGCCCAACCCCAGGGGGTTACTGATTTTCCTTTTATGTACATAGTAAAAAAAAATAACAATTTCTTCTTTGAAAAACCCAAAGAGGTAGAGCTATGATATTTGGCATGAAACATCTTTTAGTAAGTGTCTTTACCAAGTTTGTTAAATAAAAGCTCTGGGGTCAAAACTGGTCCAGTCATGGGGGTCATTAATTTTCCTTATATGTTATATATAGTAAAAACTAAAAAGTCTCTTTTAAAAAACAAAAGAGCTAGAGCTTAGATATTGGCATGAACATTTTCCAGTGGGTGTTTACCAACTTTGTTCAAATCAAAGCCCTGGGGTCAAAATTATTCTTGTTCATGGAGAGTTTTTATATTCAGATGAGTAATTTCAGGGCCATCATAAACCCTCTTTGTTATTAATTATATTTGCTATGGCAGTACTCTGTAGCTCAAGATAATAGTTTTGCTTCAGACTTGATCTTATCAAAAACATTTTATTGAACACAAAATACCAAACTTAGATGTATAAAGCATGTTTTAATTGACCATATTGTTTGTTAAAGCATTAAAAAAAAAACCAACAAAAAAACTTACGGGTGCAGGGCTTTTTTTTCACAGGCTGGGGAAGCAGCCCTGCCCTTAATTTTGGGGATATATTAATGGTATATTTGCAAAAGGGGAAGAAAAAACTTGCTGTAAATTATATTTTGTGGGAAAACTGCATGATTTTAAAGATTTTTTGGGGGGGAAACAGTCCTATAATGGCCCCTGCTATAGAAGCAAAAAAGCCCCGGGGTGAATTGGACGGCTGTAGGGGAGGTGGAGACCGTTTAAGTTTGGTAGTTTTAGTCAGTGAAAAACCTAATTTGGTCAGTGAAAAGTCAGGAAAAAGTCAGGGAATTTTATTCATCTATGATGCTGGCAACCCTGCACAGGAACTTGAAATTCTATAACTATTAACGATAATATGCAAAATATACCCCCTATATACTATGTTTTTTTATAGTATATAGGGGGTATATCTGGATATTATAATAAATATTGGTTATTTGATAGAATTTCAAGTTCCTGTGGTATATATAGGCTGTCTGACATTAATCATATTTTCTGGGGTTTTTTTTTATGCCCCCGGGCATATAGTAATTGAACCGTCCATCCGTCTGTCCGTCCGTCTGTCCGTCCGTCTGTCCGTACAAGGTTAACCTAGAACGGCAAGTTGGATTTTTCTTAAGTTCTACCTGTACCAATGGCTTCTAAGTTTACACAATTACTAATCAATACAAAGTACATGATCTGGGCAAGTTTCATAACTCTGGCTTTCATATTTACCAACTTTTTTGCCCTTTTTAGCACTTAGAAAATGAATAATGGTTAACCTAAAACCACGGTGCATATCCATATCGGTACCCTCTTTGCGAAATCTGCTGAAACGGTACCCTCTCTGAACATGCACAGGCCATTCTCTGCTAAAAACAAACCAGCGATGGATACCAATCCAGTAAAATTTCATTGTAATAAGGAAAGGAGGTATGTCACGTAGAAAAGATGTATACCACGGAACACTAGGATGTTTTATTTATGTGCTGATTTGTCATGTGCCCGATTTTCATGTACTGCAACTTCACAATAAGCTACAAAAAATCGACGTGTCTTGCTTCGCCCATCACCTCGACATATTTTTCGGGCTTAAATGAACATGTGGCTTGATTATATATGCATCATACATGTTTAATATGTTCATATACATATCATCTTCGGACAAATGGCAGTATATTGTCAAAAATAAATGTAATATTCATAAAAACACCTTACTTTCGGCTTTGCAGCGGCACGGGCTACCTCTCTTCAATTGAATTTTTATATCACAGGTACCCTCTCATTATTGAACTCCTGGGTACCCTCAAAGCATGACATATGCTTTTATTTGCGTTAATCGTTAAGTGTGTATGTAATACTTTTTACTTTTATGTAAATATTACATACTTAACGATAAACGCAAATAAAAGCATATGTCGTGCTTTGAGGGTACCCATGTGTTCAATAATGAGAGGGTACCTGTGATATAAAAATTCAATTGAAGAGAGGTAGCCCGTGCCGCTGCAAAACCGAAAGTAGGGTGTTTTTATGAATTTTACATTTATTTTTGACAATATACTGCCATTTGTCCGAAGATGATATGTATATGAACATATTAAATATGTATGATGCATATATAATCAAACCACAGGTTCATTTCAGCCCGAAAAATATGTCCAGGTGATGGGCGAATCAAGACACGTCGATTTTTTGTAGCTTATTGTGAAGTTGCAGTACAGGAAAATCGGGCACATGACAAATCAGCACATAAATAAAACATCCTAGTGTTCCGTGGTATACATCTTTTCTACGTGACATACCTCCTTTCCTTATTACAATGAAATTTTACTGGATTGGTATCCATTGCTGGTTTGTTTTTAGCAGAGAATGGCCTGTGTATGTTCAGAGAGGGTACCGTTTCAGCAGATTTCGCAAAGAGGGCACCGATATGGATATGCACCGTGAAAACGGCAAGTTGGAAATATCTTAAGTTCTATCTATATTAATGGCTTTATAATTTCCACACTTATCAATACAAAGTACATGATATTGCCAAGTTATATAATTGTGTCATCCATATTTCCCCACTTATTCCCTTTTTTATACGCCCCTTTGAAAAACGGGATGTATTATGGGAACGCCCTGGCGGGCGGGCGGGCGGGCGGCGTCCAATTTTTGCCGGAGCATATCTCCTACATGTATGGAGGGATTTTAATGAAACTTCATAGAAATGTTCACCACTATGAGGAGCAGTGTCGCGCACATGAACCAGGTCTCTAGGTCAAAGGTCAAGGTCACACTTAGAGCTCATTGAAAAATGCTTGTCCGGAGCAAAAACTTCCACATGTATAGAGGGATTTCAATATTACTTGGCACAATGTTCACCATTGTGAGGCGGAGTGTCGCGCGCAAGATTCAGGTCCTTGCGGCCAAGGTCAAGGTCACACATAGAGGTCAAAGTTCAGAATAAAAATATGAAGATGTGTATATGGACCATTTAGTCATCATTTATTGAGGGATTGTAACACAAAT